GTTTGGTCTATATTGACTATGTTAGAAACTACCTTTTCCAGTCTAGTAGCCAAAATCTTAAGATAATTGTGGTATATTTAAGTTATTCAGCCATACATGTTCTAATGTGTCCGTTTTTGCTTCAGAGCAGTACAATTTTTCATAAAACCGTTTAAAACATTCATTTATATGCTTATTATCCATATGACGATGGCCCTTTTCGTCCTGAATTGAGGATATAAAGTTTGTACCAGGAGACTTGTTTACTAGTTTTGTCAAGTATTTGTTTGGTTTATTGCCATGTTCAAAGAATCTTTGCTGTGCGAATAATATTTCCTTTTCAGCTTTCTTTGTTATAATATCAGTTAATGAGGCCCGAGCTACTTTAAGTTCCCCTAGAATTTTAACTGATTTCGTGATGATATAGTTGTTTTCAAGTCTTTTAATTTGATTTTCAATTTTATTTTGTTCTGCTAATCTTTCTTTCCTCTTACAGCTAGAGTATGATATTATTGTCCCTCGCATATATGCCTTATAAGCATCCCATACCAGTCTTGGGTCGGTGTTATTATTGTCATTGAATTGTAAATAAAAATCTGTCTGCTCTTCTAGTAATTTAGTAAAGTCTTCGTTTAGCAGCAGCAATCTATTCAGCCTCCATGAAGCTGACTGGTCCAGTTTTCTGGGCGGTTGCATCGCCAGCGTCACAGGAGCATGGTCAGAGAGGGAAATTGTTCCTATCTCTGATTTCTCTGCAGAATGTACCAAATGATTCAACATAAACAAATAGTTGATGCGCGTCATTGTTGAATGTGGAAATGAGTGAAAGGTAAAATCTTTTGTTGAGGGGTTGAGATGCCTCCATATGTCTGTTAAATCCAGTTCTTCTAAAATATTTTTCACTGCCCTAGAGTTCTTAGATTGAGTGTTTAGGGGAGGACACCTGTCCATGAGAGGGCATAGAGAGCAATTAAAGTCACCTCCGATAAGTATGTTTGGGCAGTCCATTTCAGCAATTTGGTTAAGAAGCGCTGCAAAGAAATCCTCATCATATACATTTGGGCCGTATACACTACCAAGCAAAAAACTCTCTCCATAAAGAACACCCTTAATCAATATGATTCTACCTTCCGTGTCTCTAAACGTGTCTAGAGCTGTGAAAGGGAAATTTCTATGTATTAAAATTATAACCCCTCTTTTGTTTGTTGAATATGATGAGAAATGAACTTGCCCCACCCATTCTCTTAAATATTTTTTATGTTCATCGTCCGTAAGACGAGTTTCTTGTAAAAATGCTACTTGGGTTCCGTCCTTCTTTAAACTATTTAGGATAGCCTTCCTTTTTATTACGTTATTAGAACCTTTTACATTCCATGTGCAAACCTTAATGCTCATCTTCCGAGTATATCAATATATTACTTGACGCTGTGTTTTAAAAATATGCAGATAAGATTCAAATTTAAGTTTAACCTGCAACATGCCTGCCTCAGATTGTGCTTTGTGCTGATAAACCAACGAAAAGGTTCCAAGCAAAAACCCAAAACAAAGCTTGGACCAGACTCTAACGAGGAAACAGTAACTATAACAAGCTACATAACAAGATAACAATAACAATAACAAGCTCGTCATACCCTAATTCCAAGGTACAACAGGTGGGGGCCCAGTGATAAAACATAATCAGAGAGAAAAGAAAAAGAAAATTAAAGTATTAGGTTCCCTACCCTCTCTGGGTCTGAATATCAGGCCATCCTGGATAAACACTTGCTGGGTGTAATAACAATGTTTTACCTCAACACTTTATCCCTTATTTATAAAACAGTGTAAACAAACTGAGTTGCAGTAGTGAATATTGTTATTAAAGTACCTGTTTTCTTTTTGAATATTCACCGTTGTTTTACTCTCATATTGCTCAGTCGTTTATGCACACACGGACGTGTGGAGAGATTCCTGTGAAGTCATTAAGGAAGTGTCTTCATGAATTCGTTAACTTCTTTCATGTTGGAGAGAGATGATGTCGTCCCATTTTGGTTGAAGATCTTGATCACGGCGGGGAACAGGAACGCGTATTTGACGCCGGCCTCTCGCAGCTGTCGCCGAGCGTCTGCGGACTCCTGTCTCTTTCTAACCATCTCTGCGGAGAAATCCTGGTAAAAGGAGAGTCTGCGATCTTCCACTTGAATTGTCCCCTTGATCCTTGCAGCGCTGAGGATCCTTTGTTTATCGATGTAGTTGTACAGCCTCACCAGGACTGCTCGCGGATGGTTTCGGTCATTTCGCCCCGCCGGAGGTCCGGTGCGGTGGGCTCTTTCAATTTCTATCCGTGTCTGCTGCAGTCCCAGGACTTTTGGAATCCACGCCCCGAAAAAAGCCACCGGTTCACTGCCTTCGATGCCTTCCTTTAGTCCCATAATCTTAATGTTCTGCGATGAAATTCTGAGCAAAAATGAAAATTAATACACTTCGTACTTCTTTTTGGGGGTTAAATTTATGGATAAAAATTAAAATAACAATTTCAACGATTATTATAACCAGAATCATAACATTTAAATATGGTGGTTAGCAATATTTAACTATATTTATTTTATTACTTCAACAATATTTAACTGTAAATTGAAGTAAGTCTGTGCTCACTTCACAGACATGCTCTTCTTGTCTGTGAAGTTACATTTAACATTTTTGTTAAAATTATGTATACGTATTTTTGATGCAATGTGATTGAAACTGTTGGTCAGTTCACAAAAAACAATATGGAACTTTGGAAGAAAAGTTCCATATTCAGTTTATTGCAATGGCGATTAAAGTTTTAAAAGGAACCAGAAGTGTAATGTGTACATTCACTTTTTACTGAATACTTTAGGATCTTTACAAACTCCGTATGGTTAACTATAGAGTGCGGCAGCTACTGAAAATAAAAACATTTTTGTTTATAATATCAACTGGTTGGCGGGATTGATTGCTGCTTTTTAAAATGTTTTTCAAATAAATTAATGTAGAGTAAATGTTACTCTTTATGCGCATATGAGCTTAAGTCATATGCGCATTACAGCACAATAAAGACTCCACACCTCTAGGAATAAAATGTGTCTACCCCCCAACAGCGTTGCAGAGGATTACTGTCACCGCCGAGCCGCCGTAGCAATGGGAGAAAATATGTCCAAGCGGCTGAAGTTGGTATCAACTACAGAAGCAGAGATGGAAGAGCGTTCTTTCCCTAACCAGTATCCTGACTGGGAGCAGGGACTCGCTGTCTCGAACGCTGGAGCTGAGCTGGACTCTGACGAGCCGCTGGACGCTGAAGGAAAGGTGGGAAGATAAAGGTTTTTATGTTATTTTTTACCTAGCAGTAACTGCAGTTAGCTTAGCTATGATAACCTGTTCTGGTTGGTTAGTAAGCAGTGGTTACCTTCTTAAAAACGGTTGCTTAGTACAACATGCCGTCACCTGATAGACAACATTGCTGTCATTGTTTGCTTTTTAATAATTTTTTAACAACTATTCCACTTCCAGCCTTGCATTCCATTATGAATTTCATTAAACCGTTAATGCACAACAATATTTGGGGCATGCCATAGCAATGCATAGGGAAGGGCCAGAGCCGTGCAGACACCACTAAAAGGGCAGGTGCTCAAAAAAAAAAGGGCACATCTTACCGCATTCTAGGACAGAATATTAACAGCCTCTCAGCTTTCAGAGCTTAATAAAC